ATGAAATATAGTTTTATAATATTTATTTTTTTAAAATACTGCAATTGCAACTCTGCAAGTATAGGTACTTTCATTACAAAATACAGTTTTATAATATTTATTTTTAAAAATACTGCAAGTATAGATACTTTCATCCAAATCCATCTTGTTTTAGGATATAGTCTTCTAGCATTGATAAGAAAAGCCTAAACTAAAAACAAATAACAATCATTCCAAGTAATTAAAAATAAAATAATCTAACCCAATCAAATTTTAATAAATTTAATGAAAAAGAAACAAAGAAAGTACATCTCCTTTTAAATGGAGTAATAAATTATATACAACTGCAAATCAATAATTAGATGAGCATCAAACGGATTCAGATTAACTTCAATTGATTAAAGGTTTACAACAACTTTGAAGTAGATAATTAAAGATAACAAACGAAGACATTCACATAATACTCTATGATTTGCGCATAAGAATTTGATAAATAAATTTTCAGAATAAACAAAACAGAGGGTATATGTATTAATTCTAATTTTACCTTTGAATGTTTGACAAATACTGTTTAGGTATAATTAGAGTTACTTCAATAACTCAATATTTACATATAACTTTGTGTTCTTCTCGCAATCAAAATTCCAACTTGACCTTTTCGTCTTGTAAAATCATCTCCAAAGAGTAAGGTATTTCTGCTTTGAATTTATCAGGAACTATTCACAATCGAATAACACGAACTTTCAAGTTCTAATGCATTGATTTTGGATGTAATTTCTGAGATTGTGTTAAATTGCAAAAGCCACTTATTGTTGAATATAGGAGAACAATGTAAAGTTATGTAAAGTTATTACTGAAAATATCTATATATAGTACGTGACTTTCAAGATGCAGTGAAAAATGTAGTTAAAAATTCCTTGTTTAGTGGATGGTTATTGAGAAGTTATCTTAAGGAGTTATAAAACTGCCTTCTTTGTGTTTATCTGTAAAAATATATAGATTTTTTTATATTAATTTTAAATACAAAATACTGGTATATTTAAACTCCTTATGTAAAATATATACTCATTTATAATAAATGAGTATATTAAAAATGATAAAATTGTGAATCCAATATATGTAAAAATATATATTTATTTTTTATATAAATTTTAAATACAAAATACTTATATATTTAGACTCCTTACGTAAAATATATACTCATTTATAATAAATGAGTATATTAAAAATGATAAAATTGTGAATCCAATATATGTAAAAAAATATATTTATTTTTTTATATAAATATTAAATACAAAATACTGATATATTTAGACTCCTTACGTAAAATATATACTCATTTATAATAAATGAGTATATTAAAAATGATAAAATTGTGAATCCAATTTTCCTTGATTAAATGATTTATAAAAAATGATTATTTAAAATTATATGTAGTTACGTATAAGTAAATGGGTCTAAATCTAAAATATCTAAAAGCTAAAATATTCTAAAAAATTGTGGTATTGTAACTACCGTATAATTACATAATGGATCTAATTGTAATTATTGACATGTTTCAATATTTATTTAAATAATTATTTATTATTGATTATTTAACATTTAAAATTCAAAAAATTATGATAATGACATGTGTTATTTTTTTCTCCTTTTATGTTGAGTGTCAGTGGACTTGTTGTGTGGGTATTTTTGCATTGACTTCGGTAAAATTACATAACATATTAATCTAAATCTAGTCAGATAACGTATGTAATTCATAAATGAGAACTTACTTTTTCTTTAAGTAGCGAAAGTAGAAGAATAGAATAAACCACAATTCAAATTTACTAATCGATCATGAATGTCACAATATATTAGAACGATGAATTGTTATATAATGGGTGAACCCGAATTTTGTACCCTTTCAATACTTTTACTGTAATAATAATAGTTGTGGTGCCACATGCAGATAACTGGTGAGACAGTAGGAGAGGTGAAGGCAGTAATTAACAGATATGCACCAGAGGAAAGCTGAAATGGCCAAACATTCTGATGCCTTTATTGCGTTACCTGGTTCCTCTTCATTCTTCCCCATTTTTCACCATATAATAACCACCTTATCATATAAATAAAATTTTCATCTATTTTATACAAAAATAAAAAATTGTGCCAATTATTTAGGTGTAGTAATATAATTGTCGCTATATGCACTAATATAGTATGGGAATCTATTTATAATCAACACTCTATATAATGTCACTAAAGACTTTAATCACTCTGGATGTAATGACATTAACTCAATTGCTGCTTAAAAGGAAAAAAATATTGTCACTAAATGTCTTTTTTTGCTGCAATCAATAATGTATGTGAGAAAATGGAATTTACTGTACATATTCACGATGATGGAGAAAATGATCAAAATGGTCCTTTAATATGTAGGTGTTGGTCTATTTTTGTTCTTGATATATTCACTTTAAATGATATGGTCCTTGACAAAAAAAAATCACTTTTTTTCTTACATTATCGATCTGTTAGGATGCATATATGAAAGAACCAAAATAAACTAACCTCAATATATTAATTATTAAAAAGAATCATTTTGACCATTTTCTTGAAGATGATATGTATAATTAAATTCTCTTTGAACTCATTACTATTTTATATAACCAGATTAAGGTGACCTACAACAACAATTATTTTTTATGAGTACATCGATTTAATTATCTTCAGCTCACATTCACTAATTTATACTAATTCTTTACAAAATACACGAGTACCTTTTATTTGCAAGAAATTAAACTTTGTGGCAACTCTAGTGAAATTATTGGACTAATTGAGTAAATATTACAGGTGGCTATGGAACTTTAGAAGAGCTGCTTGAAGTCATTGCTTGGGCTTATCTTGGAATCCATGATAAACCGGTAATTAAATTTCTAAGTTCCTTTAATCAGCTTAATTAGAATTTTTTCCCCCGTGATTAACAGTAATTTGATTGAAATAATATTAATGCAGGTAGGATTATTGAATGTAGATGGTTACTACAATTCCCTCTTGACGTTTATTGACAAAGCAGTGGAGGAAGGATTCATCTGCCCTAATGCCCCCCAAATTTTTGTATCAGCTCCTAATGCCAAGGAACTTTTAAATAAACTCGAGGTAAATGATATCAGAGTCGGGTACATTTCTGTTTTGAGTTTTTAATCCACGCCCCAGTACTTGAGCCTGGGTGTGAAGGGGAAGTGATATGGGGAAAAGTTTCATATTAGTTGAAAAATTAACTGGTGATTTGTATTTTGTAAGCTTAGTCAGTCCACCCTGAAGAACTGACTTTTGGGGTTGAGTTGGACTCAAGTACTATCATATCTTTATGATTTGATTAATTCTGATTCATGTTGCGTTTATTATTGATATATCTGAAATACATGTATATTACTACCATTTTTCAGGGGTATTTTCCCAGTGATGAATCAAAACTTAATTGGGAAAATGAGAAGTCAGAATATTCCTCCAAGATGATTCTCCATGCCACCTCATCATGAGAAGACTAATTTTAGAACAATCAAGAATGTATAACTTATTTTTCAGTTGTTTTTTCTTACTAATAAAGTTGGAAACTGAGATGACTATTTCTCTCAATTATGGCCAAGTGTTAATAATGATTATCATGGTTTTTATATTTGTTTTAATCTTGAAACTACTAAGATCATCTCTAATTCCACCTCTATTTTACTCTCCATTCTCTATATTTGGAGAGTAAAATAGAGA